TTGTAGGGTTAATGGGTACAAAGTCCCTGCAGCACATGGGGATTTATGGAATCTAAATATAAAGCCCAAGTCCCACTAACTCTAATTTTGTCTCTGTCCTCACAGAACAAAGATTTCATGTTTTGCTTCCCTTCTCTCTCTCTGCAGGAATCAAGGCAGCTGACCCAATATGAAGATTCACCTGTGAGAGGTACAAAACAGCCCGGAGAAAAGCCTTCATTTCACCAGCAGGTTCATTCAGAGAGATCACGACACAGCACATAAGGGGGCCATTGTTTCTGGAATAAAATCTCCATTTGAGCTCTCTTCTTTGGCCATGATCAATGGGAGGGAATTAAAGTCTCATCCTGGGAAAAAAAAATCAGCTTGCTAACACTGTGTTGAAAGATCAGGTAATGGAGATACAGAGCAAGTGTGGGTGCCCACATAATCCTTTGGTGAGCTTGAGAATGCTGGAGGTAAAAGCTCCCCAAACACAGGCACATCCCTTATCATACCCTATGAGAGACAACCAAGTCAAGGGCTAGGGGTCCTAACAGGACTTGTTGGTATTTCACAGTCCTTTGATCCAGATTTTAGTTCCCCACAGCTCCTCCCAGTGCAGGGGCATTTGAATTCCATGGGTGCTTACACAGCTGCCTGTTCAAGCCTCTGCATTTTGATCCCACAGATGCACAGAGCCAACCCCAACAACTTTGAGTCCTCTGTCCTACATAACCCTGGGGCATTCTGAGAGCACTAACCTCTCACTCATCCTCCTGGCCCAATATGAAGACTCACCTGTGAGAGGTACAAAACAGCCCAGGCACCTTCCCATCTCCAACAGGTATGTCAGTGAAAACCCACTGCTCTCACCACTCAGTGATGATGGCAAGAGCTTTTTCTACCACCTGCCAAAGGATGGATTTCCACCCTTCAAAGCTCATCAGACTAAACATCCGCAGAGAACCAACCCCATTTACATCATGGCCACAACATCATAATGACCACCTCCTCCCCCTCTCTGTTTCAGTCTGATGCTTTGAAACAACAAGAAGAAAAGGAGCTTTTTACCTAGTAGTTACTGGTTCAAGAAGCAGTGCCTGCTGCTTGGCCAACTAAGTCTGGAGCATCTCTGTCATCCTCTGGCTGACATCACTTGCCTTCACCCTCTCCCAGGCCCAAATCTCATGTGTATTTTACTAGTCAAAGCAAACAGGAGTTTAAAAGCGATTTGCTGCCCTCTCCTGAGCGAGCCCCAGTGACTGTCAGTACTGCAGTGGCTCAGGAGACAGACTTTCCTTCAGCGAGCACAGCTGCTCCCATGCAAAAAGAATGGTGTTGGTGTAGAACCAAACAGCTGTGACAGGGCATGTTAGAAGTGATCATCAGCTGTGACAGATGAGGATGGCAGATCAGCTACACAGCCTGAACCATTTGGTATCCACAGAGGGCATTCCTGGCATTTTGGTTTTGTAACTCTCAGGTTAATTTTCCTCTGTGGAAATACAAAGAAATACCTCCCAGCATATTCTGTTCTCAATTGTCACAAATATTTCAGACCATAAGCAGACCATGAGATACATAAAGAAATAGAAAAAAAAAATTTACTTGTAGATTTAATTCGTAGGGTAAATTGAGGAGGTTTTTTTGGACTAAACCCACTTAAATCTTTTATGTCCTCCAGTAGTGCTCTATCCTGTCCTTCAGGGTGCATGTAACTTTACCTAGACAGACAGTATGTACACACACACTATCTTCAGAACAAAACACTGCAACCTGCTGCTTTCAATGCACTTCCCCATGATAACTAATCTTTTGCAGAAACGTGTCAAATTAAATTGTGCTCTCCATTAAAGCCCTCCAAAATAAGGCCTGTGAACCTGAGGGAACCTTTGTTTTCATATGCAAATATAGACATAAAAAAGTAAAAGTCACTTCTAAACATTTCTCAAATCTTTGTTTTTCCATGTACCCTAGGACAGATAAGATGTCCCACAATGTGGAATCAACACTGTTTTCTTGGCACTCTCTTTGGGATGCCCTTCATGCTTCAATCCTGAAGGGAAATGAGGGGTTTAGAAGGCCAGGCAGCCTCATATTCGTGACCAAGAAAAATGCCTCGTACTATTTGTAAACAATGCAACCAGTGCCAGATCAGGCTGCCACCAAGGCATCCACTGACAGTTCTCACTTGGGCACACACAGTGCCCAGCTCTGACTGCATGAGAGGGATGTGCCATGCTCCATACTATCTCCAAGCACTGCTGAATCTCCAAGCGCTACATGGAACTGGCCTGTCCCAGCGACCAAGCCCTGCAGTGGGTGATAATGGGGTGCTGCCTGTGTGTACAGATGTGATATTTCCATCGCACGCCTGAGGGTGCAGACCCATGGAAGTGTAAGTAGAACAGGGGCAGGTTCCCAAGGGTCACATGGACACAGACAATCTGTAAACAAGGGCCTGCAGCAATCTTGAAGCAAAACAGAACCACTATCCATATGGTACAGGGACTGTGGGATTATGGGTTAAAATTCTCTAGGCTCCAAAATCAGCTTGCTTTGCTTTCAAGCCTTCTTTTTCTCTATTAAACATGCAGAAGTCACCATAAAGATAACTGAGAAACAAGGCATTTGGAGGAAGGAAAAAGCAGCATGCCTTCCCCAATGTCATCTACCAACCATTTGGTACTTCACTTAGGAAGTGCTAACCTGATTTTTAGACACCTCAGGTTTGGAGCTCTGCATCATGGAGGCTGGAAACACCTTGGTCTGGTCTCCCAGGCTTCTTTAACCTAGTAACTTTCAGAGAAAGGAGCTGCTTGGAAGCATCTGAACCTCTGGCAAGGCTGTCCAGCAGGCCTGGCAGCCCAACCCTGCACGGCATGGACTTGGACTGGCCTTGATACTAGAAAATTATTTGCAAAGCAGCTTAATAGTTTGCGCTTATTATGTTTGCCATGTTTCACCACTGCTTCCCCTTCAAAGCATCTGTGCATTCTTGGACAGTGTCCCTTCAGAATGAAAGCCAGTTCTCCTTTGAACGACATCCCAGCAGATCCTCCACTGGGTAGCAGAGCAAGAAAGCATCTGTGATATGCAGATTCCTGAGCCAGGAGAAGGCAAGATATGCAGGCTCTGGATTTATGGATTAGACATGCTGCCATGGCACACAAATCACTCTGCACTCAGTGCAATTCATTATCACAGTGCCATGGCTGGTCACATTTTTCACAGGTGCAAATAATGCCAAAAAGGCTTTTAAACTTCTGTGTGCCAAGATTTAGTGATGCAGAGTCAGGAGCCCTCCTGCCTGCTCAGGGAAGCAAAACCAAAGTCAGCAGTTGTTCTGTCTCTCTGGACACACTGAGCCATGAAGGATTTTCAGCACCCCATGGCAGCGTAAACAGAGTAAGCTGTCACAGGGCTGGGACTGTGCCTGCTCCCAGTTCAACCTCTCCCAGCAACTGAATCTGTTGAACTGCCCACATGCACCAGCAGCACCTTCTAACCCAGGTAAATTCAGCTAAAAATCCGCAATCCCAAAAGCACCAGGTGTTGCAGTGAAAAGCCCCAGGGGACTCAGGGCAGAGGTGCTGATGGAGCTGAGGCAGGAAGATGGGAGGCCTGTGGGCCCCCTCACGGGGCCTCATGGCGCACCAATTTGGACCTCTCCACAGAGGAGGCTCCTCAGTAGTCCTGTGTGCCTCCTTGGAGGTCATGCTCATAGTGATATTGCAGAGGATACTGGTGCAAAAGGTGCAGTCCCCAGAAGAAAAAATAAATCTGAACCGGACCCCCATTTCCTTGGGCGCCTTGCTACCACATCCAGTCAGGCCAATGCCACAGGGGTTAGTGCTGGAGGGACACGGGGCACAGAAAGGAAATGGCAGAAGGAGACCCCAAGGCAGAGCCCCATGTTACTCACCTCAGTCAGGCTGGCTCCGGCACACACAGCATGGGGAACGTCCTTCTCAGCCATCGACCCCACCTGCGCGCTGCCCGTGAGGGGACCCACAGGCCTCCATCTTCCGCCTCAGCTCCATCGGCACCGCCGCCCCGAGCACCTGGGGCTTTTCCTTGCAACACCTGGTGCGTTTGGGGCTAGCGCGGCCCCCTGGGCTGAGCTGAGCCGAGGTGAAGCAGCCTGAGGCAGAGAAGCCCCAGGACTCTCTTCTTCCCCTCAGGTGGCCCCGGAGTGCCCGGACCGGCTCCTTCAGCTCCTTCCCCCCTCACGGGCTCCCTCAGCGGCCTGGGGCGGCGGTCAGCGGGCCGCTAGGGGGCGCTCGGCGGCCGCGGGGCAGCGCCGCCTGGCGGTGCTCTGTCACTGCCCCGGGTCCCGCACTGCCCTCCCTGCCCCGCGTCCCACCACCGTCCTTACCTGTCCTGTGTCCCACCACTGTCCCTGTTCGCTCACTGCCCTCCCTGCCCCGTGTCCCACTGCTGTCCTTACCTGTCCTGTGTCCCACCGCTGTCCCTGTTCGCTCACTGCCCTCCCTTGTCCCGTCACTGCTCTGTTACTGCCCTCACCTGTCCCCTATCCCATCACCTTCCCCCGCCTGTCTGGTCCCCGCCTGCCCCATCCCCTGACATCAGCTGCCCCGTCCCCACCGCTGCCAGCAGCCCCTGGGCAGAGCTCTTTGGTGGCCGAGCTGCATTCGCGTGTGAGCTGAGTGGGGAAGGGACCCTGTGACTTGGGTTGGGGGCTGAAGGGCACACACAGGTTGTTCACTGCTGGTCCCCTCACAGCCTGCTGGCCCCACCAAATGCCCTCCCCATTCCAGCTGCATCACAAAACAAGCAGCCACGAAGTGGCTTAGGAAGAAACTCCCAGTTTCTCCTGGCCCATGGTAGAAGCCAGCAGCTGCCAAAGTTTAACCCTATGGTGCACTCCAGTAATTTCTCCACCTGCCCTCAGGATTTGTTTTGCTTGGCACAAAGTCTGAGGGTGAGGAACAGTCTCAGGGAGCACAACAACAGGCAAAATACACAGTGCAGAATAGAAAAATAAGCCATTTATATAATTGTGCATAATTTTATTGAAATTTTGCTTTATTTCAAAAATAATTAAGGGACACCATAAACAGCAGTAGACACATCAGTGGGGTTTGTAGTTTTGAGTCTCTCAAGATCAGATCTCTTGTGCCAGGTGCCATACAGGCACAGTCAAACAATTCTTGCCTTCAGGATGAATTTGTCATAAAGATTCAGGGCCCCAGTCTCGCTCACTTAAGTCAGTATTAAAACTAAAGTAGACTTAAAGGAATGCAGATAAGGTAAAATGAGTGGGCTTCTAGACATGCCCTCCCTCCCCTAGAAGAACATTGGAAAAGATGCATCAAGCAAGAAGATATTTCCTTTTCCTTTTCCTTGGGAAACCAAGACAGGAGAAGACTAAATCCCTAGTCCAAAGCTCTTGATGCTGTCTGTGGTAGCAGAAGGAAACTGTATTTCTCCATTGTCCTAGCTCAGTACTCAAACAGTTTGCTGCCCACCTCTGTCCTCACCTGACCCAGCACAACCAGAAGCATCCTGGGGAATATGGCTGGAATACTGTAGGAGGGCAGGGATCGAGCACTGGAGCCCCTATGAGCTGTTTGAGTCAGTTCTGGTCACTGTAGTTCATTACTTCCTTAGTCTACAGAACCACTTCCAGCTCAGACAAGCAGTTAAGATCATGCTAAAGAATTTAAAGCATTGAAAAAACCCAAGATTGATTATTTAGAAACACAGCAAAAGTCTGATCAGTTCAAGTCCTGCTTCAGACTGCAGTCAGGATTAGATGCTGTACTAAATTGTCCCCTCTGGGTATCACAAACTACAGGACTTTGGCACAGCGTCCCCCAAAGGGAGGAGGGTCTTCTGTCTCGTGATGTTAATTATTGCTGGAGGGGTTTATTGAAGAAGATACCCAAGGGTCTACCTGCTGGTCTAGTTCTCGGGTGGTGCTCCGGGCTTCAGCTGTCATTCTCCGAAATTTCTGCAGGTAGACAATGATGAGGATAACCAAGATGCCCTGGAGGAAAAGGAGGATGAAGAGTGAGAGCTGAGAGAGGAGAGCCAGGCTGCAGTACCAGTGCTGGCATGTGGAGACGATCTCATCTTCTGTCAGGTAGGCGATGATGCGGCCCTGCAGGTGCTCCGGGGAGCTGCACCTCACATCCCTGTACAGGCTCCGGTTCTGCTGCCACTGCAGCCAGGAGCGCAAGTAGAGGATGTCACAGGTGCATTCCCAAGGGTTGCCCTGCAGGTAGACCACCTGGAGGCTCCTCAGGTTGTCAAAGAGCCCATTGGGAATAGAGGTGAGCCTGTTGGAACCGAGGTGGATGATTTCAGCCGAGGGACGGAACGCAGTGGGCAGGTTTTCTACAGTCAGGTTTTGCAGTGAGCAGTCAGTAATGGTGGTGGTGCACTTGCATGGCACAGGGCATATGGGTGTCACAAGTGGGAGGAAGCCAAGGAGGGACAAGAGAATTCCACTGTTCATTTTCACCTGCAAACACTTCCCTGGTGAGATTGGATAAGGCGGAGACCAGACACCACACACTCCAGGACTGACACCACAGCCAAGGTCTTTTGTTGTTTTGTTCTGAGGATGAGCTTCTAAAGTTGGGTGAATTTGGTGTCCTCCACTGGCGACGCAAGAGCTGTGAAAAGAACAGAGTTAAAAGAGAGCAAATTCTGATCTCTCACTAGAGGTGAAGGAATTTTCGTGGTCTTGCAACCCTGGATTTGAGGAGGGATAGGAACATGGCTGCTGGAAGGCTTAGCTGCAGCCATCAAATACATTTTCACTAGTCCTCAGAAGTGCACAAGAGCTGCTTGTGTTTTCAGCATTACTGGAGGGGCACTATCAGGGTAGCCAAGAAAATTTCTGTCAAGGAATCAAAAACTAGAATATGAACTTCCTCATGTCTTATCATAGTTCTGGATAACATCTGTAAGCAAAGCATCGTTCATGCCAACTGCAACAGGAGATTCAGAAATAAATTTACTGTTACCACGAGTAAAAAATAGCCTTTCCAGCCTTGAAAAGAAGTAATTAACAGTCTTTGGCTGCAGAGAGGATGTTGACCACTGAGGATGGAGGCCAGTGGAGTTTTTCATGCCATACATTGCTCCAGCAGGTGAATAAATCACTTGTGCTGGGAGACATGGGTCAAGGAGCTTTTTTTATGTTTTTTACAGGCTCATTCATGCCACTGTTGAACAGGAGCAGCTGTAAGTTCTCCAGGAGAACAATTACACATACCTGCAAACAAGGCAGCATTTTTCTGTGCTTGACAAATTGTAATTGTCAATCAATTAAATAAAATTTTTAAAAAGAGTAGAAGGTAGCATTATTGACTTACCAGAGTAGTTCAAGCCTTGTTTTCTTGCTGGCTTTACACCCCAAGAGAAAGGTCTCGAGGCAGTCCAGCCAGTGCAAGAGTGTGTGCATAGCTCTGCTCCCGGATAATCCCCTTGCAGCTGGCTGCCAAGATAAGGGTCAGGCTCATCCCAGGGACACCTCCCACTTGAGGCCTTCCTGCAAGTGTGCTGCATGTCACCGGAAGCTGAGGCTTCATTGAGCAAAGTCTTCCAAGAACCCGGAGCTGACACTGCTCACAAGAACACGTTTGCTGCAAGATGCTGCCAGTACTGAGAATTGTGATTCTGGGCCCACAGGCTCAGCCCAACAGGAATGTTACAAAGTCTCCACGGCACAGTAACTCAAAATGCTTCAGACTGGAAGGTGATGTTACTGGTTTGTACCATACTCCCTCAGCACTGTGACCTTTGGTTTCCCATCTCATCAGGAAAACCTGGCAGAGTGGTGACACCTAGCACTTTCTGGGCGCTGATCCTCAGGTTTCCCTTGAAGCAGTGACACAAATCTACTACTTATTAGTGAAAGATCTGCTGATAGACATGATCTTCCAGTCCATCCGTCTTTCCAGAGAAATATTCTTCAAATGGGCAACAGCCCTTGACAAATGCAGTTACTGAGAAAGACTGACCACAGGCTTTTTTTAGAAGCTGCATTACACAAATACTTCAACAGGTAAGTCCAAGGATCAAAACTACATTCAGGCAGAATCACAACTTCTCATGGCCATCACATTTTCACAGACACTTCTCTGCATCAGCCTGGCCAGGCATACACTACACTCCTTAGCCTAAGGCCACCAGAATCACATTATGGAACTGTCGCCCCATTGAACTCAACTCTGTTACATTGTACTGTGGACATCCTAGAGACCAGAAATTATGAATGCCCTGAATGTGCTCATGGTAAGAGAACTCAGGGGACAAAAAATTGCTGAATGTGGCCCTAACCAAGGAAATTTTTTATGCTCTGAAGAAAGCAAGTAAACTTTAAATTTCTACAAAATTGGAGCAGATAATTCCAGTTGTTTCACAGTGGTGGCCAGGCAGAGTGGGAAAGATAGGCTAACAAACTAACCCAGTTTTTCCTGCAGGGCCTGCTTTCCACTTGGGAGCAGCTCAACTACAGCAGGGTAAGTTTGTTCAGCAAACTTTACCTCATCTCATGTGTTTAGTGCAATGTTTATTCACAGGCAGGTGTTCAGGCCAGGTGTGGCATGGAGCTGATCTAGAGCCAGATCCACTGTGGCTCTGCTGCAGCATGGGCTTGGCAATGCTCTCCTGGCTACTTACAAACTGGATTTCCTGGGACTGGATCCTGCCCAGCTGACCACTGATGATTTAGATACCACTCCTAGGGGAAGCTTGGATGTAGAAGAACCTTCAAGATCATCCTGCTAGCTTCTGGAATAAACAAGCCAGAAATCCCATGCAGGAAACCTGCCTGAAACCTGCTCTGACTGAATTAGATAAAAGGAGAAACAGGGTCAGTTTTGCTCTCTCCTACAAATAATGTATCACCAATGCTGCTCAAGGGGGGTGAAAATTAAACAGAAAGAGGTTGGATTTTTGAATGTATTTATTTCACTGATCAATTCAGGTAGTAAACATTAATAATAATAATAACAATTATCATTTAATAAAATGGATATGTTTAAAAGGTTTCATTTTCTTTGTTCACAATGACAAAATGTTCAAACAGAAATTTACAAAAAAATATATAATTATAATAACCCAACAGATGGACAGGAAACATAGAGCCTAGGAATGGAGCAGGGGGTGAGAAAGGTGCATGGCAGGAGCAAGCCAGCATTAAAGCACAGCAGAGTTTGTGAGGAAGAGCAGGGAATGCCATTGCAGAGCACAACGAGTGGGAGCCCCTCCTTTGAGGGGAGGCATGCAAGGAGGCAGCAAGGACTGCACAGGCAGGACCAGCACAGCAGTGGCACACAAGGAGTTCATGCCATGGATCCATCCTGTCAGGCACAGCGGCCAAGATGTACCAACAGCCCCAGCTGCAGCCTGGGATAGCTGTGGAGTGGGACACCATCCCTGCAGCCACTCACTCAGCAGGGCAAAGCTTGGCAGAGGCATGGGAATGTGCCAGGGGGTGCAGGGATTGTATGTGAGCCTGTGGAGGGTTGTGTGAGGGGAGGTGTTAAATTACTTTCCTATCCACACTTCTCACTGCCAGAGCCACATGGCTAAGCTCCCTGTGTTCAGGAGTCTCTTCTCCACTTACTGTGAGAATTGATGCCACAGTACAACACACTCCTTAAACAGATTCTACCTTCCAGGTCAGAATCTGAACCCCTGATGTCCCCCAAAATCAGTCTCTAATCCCTTCCAAGCAGTCCCTAAATTCTGGCACTCAGGCCAGGAACATCCTACAGAGACATGATTTCAGTGGTACCACCACTCCCCTGTGGAAGCCATCTCTGGTGCCTCACTCCTGCATGGTTTTTCCTAAAGGCAAGTTGAACCATCTTTGCCATCTTCAGCTCTCTGTAGAGGACAGGCCTGTGACCCTTGACTTGATGGAGGAGGCATGTGCACTGAGCTGATGGAGCCTTCCCCAGGTGGAGGGATGGGCAGATCCACCCTCAGCAGCCCTGCCTGGGACCAGTGTGCCCTGTGCTTTCACCAGCACACAGCACCCCATGAAAGGTGCACAGCCCAGCATGAAAGGTGTCAGCTGCTCTATGTCCATGCTAAAGGGAAAAGGTCTCCTTTGTCTTCTAGGAATGAATCCGTTTGAAAGAGGAAAATCTCCAGTGGACAAGGCTCATTTGCAACAGAACATCTCACCAAGATTAGGGTAAGAAAAGAGGGGACAGGTACTTCAAGATGTTTCCTTTTATGTTAGCACAGACAAAGCTGAGAACTCAGCTGTCCATCTTTTTGGAAAACCTGGAGGAAGTTCCTGTTTCAGGCTACTCCACTGCTCAAGTAAGCACATCATGCAAAGAAAGGTTACACTTCCTCTCAGGTGCCTTGGTCCTTCATGTTACTGAAGTCAAGCTGAATCCTTCTGCTCGCCTAGGATGGCACTGTCACTTATGAACCCAAAATAGGGCAGCATGAAAAAGAAAAAAAACCCTGAATATTGTTGAACACTGCTCTTGCCCAGCTTGCACAGTTTTGTCCAAGGGCTTCCATCCTTCCACACGGTGCCAGGGTCTCTCCCCTGCCCCTACAGCCCATGCACTGGCTAAGCAGAGGCTCTGTACAGTGAATAACTGGAACCAGCCAACCTACTCACCTCCTGGACAAACCCTGACAGGGACTCTAATGTCCCAGGGAGGAATCAGACAAATGCAGTGCCTAGTAACAGAATCTAGGGCCTGGCTATTCCTGGCCAACACTGTGCTTCCTACCCAGGGAGATCTACTGGGGAGATCCAGAGATGGAGGAACAGATACAAAAAGGGAAAGGGGGCAGAGGAGTCAGCCAAGGAGCAGAAGGGCCCAGCCCATGTCTGCACTCCCTGGAGTCAGAGGGAAGAGCCAAGTGTCTCTCCCTCCAACAGCCCAGACTCCTGTGAGCATGGCAGTGTTGCTGGCGAGCCCTGCCCTGTCAGGCACATCACACTCCAGGGCTCTGCTCTGGCTGGACTCAAGTTAAAAATACTGCAGGAAGCAAGAACAGGACAGGAGCTGCTGCCCAAAGAGTGCTTTTATCTCTGACCAGCAGACCCACCAGCCTTCCCAGCACTAGGGCAGGAAGAGCCAAGGAATAAGGAGGGGGAGAAGGGCTGAGTGCCCGGCAGAAAGGCAGGGGAGCAAGAGCCAAGCCTGCTGGGCTGTGCTCAGCCCCACTCAATGGCAGTCCTGCACCCGCCAGGCTGACCCAACACCTGCCCACACAGACTGCCTGTAGATCTCTGATACAAGCCTACAAAAACTGCCTCTTGCCCCAGGAGAAGCTTGGAGCCAGCAATGTGCTCATGGGACTGCAAAGCCTGGGGGTAGGGGGCAGGTCTGCATTTTGGGTTGGATTTCAGCCCTAGGGTTTCTACCCCCTCCAAAGCAGTCTTGGCAAGTGCTCTGGATGCCAAAGTGCTTTTCAGGGCAGACACTGAAGACACACTGCAGGTGATGACCAGAGCTAAACCATGAAACACCCTCACCCAGCTACTGCAGGGCCTTAGGGTTCCTCTACCAATGCCTCCAGCCTGCTGTGGGAGGAAACCATGGCAGGGAAAGTGCTCACTCCCATCACCTCCTTGCAGGCAACAGTCAACAACTCAACCTCTCTGCCAGAAAGATGTAACTGAGAAGAGTTTTCTTGTAACCAGCCTCAGGCACTCAGTCTCTTGCTGTTCAGTGCAAACATCCTGGAGTTTTCTTGATAGGAAGAACAAAACCAACCAACTAAACAAAAAATCCATAAAAACCTGGACAAGATACCAGGCAATCATCAGGACTCCTGAGCAGGTCAGTGCACAGAGGAACCCCACGCCCCAGTTCTCTGAGCCAGCACTGTCCTCAGGCTGAGAAGCCAAGCAGTGCAGGTCAAACTCACAGGAGGGTATGGCTGCCTTTACAATCCTTGTGCTGGCCCCAGACAAGGGGAACAGGGACAGAGGCACAGCACCTTAGTTGGGAGTAAACACTTACGTGCATTAACACAGATACTCTAAGTTTGTACACCAGAGAAACCAGGACTTTAAATACCAGAGCATTCCCAAACAAGAGATTAGTATACATAGGAAAGGGGGATCTTTTTCTTTTCTTATTTTTTTAGGATGCCTTAGAGATGTCCCAGGCTAGTTTCTTAAAAAAAAAAAAAAAAAAAAAAAAAAAGGAAAAAAAGAATAATTATTACAAAAGAAATACACATCAGTAAACTGTTAAGTGAACAGCCTCCTCCACAATCCAGCTGGTCGAAAAGCCAGCACTGCTGCTAATAAATTAGAGGGTGCGGGTGCAGCTCTTGCCCACAAGTCTCTATACAATAGGAAACCTTTTCTAAATGTTCACAGCTCTTGCCAGGTCTCAGATGGTCACTGGGGGATCCCCTCTGCCCTCCAGGTACCTGCCTCTCACTGATCCTGCATCTGCTGCTGCATCTTCTGCAGCATCTCTTGCATCCGCCGTAACTGCAGGAGACACAGAAGAGAGAGTCAGAAAGGGAGCAGTGGATCCATGCTTGGCAGCCCCCCGGAGCTGACAAGGGGATCCCTCAGGGAGTATTAACTCCTGCCTGAGCACAGAGGCACCTGTGTCTGGGGTGGAAGGGAGCTGTGTTTCCCTGACAGAGGAAGCCACAGCTTTCAACTCTGTCCTCCACCCCAGGAGCCCACAGGAGTGGGAAGCCTCAGGACCCTCTATGGGGGAACCCTGGAGAAACTCCTGGGATTCCAGCTCCAGCATCCAGGAGGCACAGGCAGAAATGGTACTCACCTCCTCATCCTTCATCTTAATCAGCTTCTCTGTCTCCGTGTCTGGTGTTGGGAGAGGCAGGATAGGAATGGGGCTTTCTATCCTGTTGTCCTGAGTCAGCTTGCTAGAGAGATGGAGAGAAGGAGGAAGAGCAGTCACTCATGGTCCAGGATGGCTGGCTTTGGTGTCACTACATAATGACTGTCACTCCCCATGGTAGAGCC